TGTTTCTTTAGGCAAACATATTACTTTTGTGCAAGTTAAAAATTATAGCAATGTACATGCTTTGTGTTAGCATAGGATTTGAGACTAAGGAGAAGCATTATAAACTCTGATATCACCTGGAAGTCACCAGATATTATAGGGTGTATAAGCCTATACAAAGATTATTTAGCTGTTAACATCTTAGACATTTAGAATTTAGAAGGCCAGGCACAGGGTGGAGATGTCAAAGGACAACTGGGCAAAGGGACAACTAAGGGTGTGGTCACTGTTACAAAACTGGCATGTTTAATAGGGCAAAATATTGTTTGCTGATAATGCCTGCTGTCTCAGCAGACCAGCCCTTTCCACATATTGATCTAAATTTATTTTCTGCCCTATTATATTTGAATTACATGGAGTCAACCACTGCAAGCAAGTTTCCAGTTGTTTGGCAGGACTGCTTCCAGCTTGAACTTTTATTAACAACTTGGATAGTATAACTCTTCTTTGCATTTCCAGTGTAGGAGGACAAAACATGCCTACATATTATGACTGCAAGACACTAGAATATGCTATACCAAAATATACCGCTTTGGCATAAGCATTATTTGAAGCTGTTTACTTTCTGAGAAATGACATCCATAGGAGGAATTCTGAAAACAGAAGTTACCTTTTTGTAAGGAAAATTTAAATTTATAAAGGATATTTCCATTTGTAAGGCTGTGTCCCTCCTAGTACCAAGAAGAGAAAGACAATTAATCACTAGAATCTCTTATCAATGGCAAAGGCACTGACTTAAATCTATGTAAGAAATCGTACTCTTGTTTACCATGCTTTTCTTGGTATCTCTTCATAGCAAGCTGTTCTCACATCTTTCTTTCTTTTACAAAATGATGGTGTGTCTTTTTGTCACTTTGACAGAATGCCTGAGAAAAACAATTTAAGGAGGAAAGATTTGTTTTATCTCATGATTTATCTGGTAGCCTGTTTCTAAAAGTGACTTGCAAGCTAAACATTATTGGGTTCTGGAGAGTCCAGGGTCTTCTCATCTCAAACAAAGAATTTAACAAACCAAGTCCGAAACAGTGCCAAAAATTTATTTGAAAAGTGAGGGGTGAAGGGCTATGTGAGAAGCCAGCTCTGCAGAGCAAACTTGAACAGAATAAGACAAAAAGAGGATAAAAGCAAAAAGTACATGGTGCATCTAGAGAAACCATGCCCTTTTGCCATAATGTGCTGCCTCACCACAAGCCAAGAAACATTGGAACCAGCCAACCATACAATGAAACCTCTGAGACTAAGAGATTATTAGTTCTTGGCAAAGCTGGCTGCAGAGTAGGCAAGATCTATTAAGTACAAGATCTTGGAACACACATGCAGAACATCTTCCCAAAGCCCAGCACATTGACTTGTCCTGAGAACTTGAGCAGATTTTAAATAGGATGGCCTAGATCTGACATCAGCATGAGACATGGATCCCACCACCATCTCTCAGAACCCTTATGTAGATGTTCCCATGGGTTTCCTCGAGTTTTGAAGATTTGGACAGTATAAAAGGAAGAGACTAAGAACTTGCTATCATGACTTCTTACCCCTTCACACGTTTCCCTTCCTAAGCTTCATTCTCCTCTATAAAAAATATGATCTTCATTTATTCAAGACTAATCATTACTCCTTATGGAGCTTTAAATGTTGTGGGATCCCACTGATTCCAAGGGTTTGCCTTTCTTGGCAATTTTGTTTTCTTTCTTTCCCTTATTCTCAAATAATCATATTTAGGGTCTTTTTCCCCTCCTCTTATCTCTTATGTTCTTTGTTTTCCACCTCATTGTCTTACTTATTTCATACGTGGAATACTTCCTAGAACTGCCACTATCCATGTTAGAACTTTTAAGTGAAAGTATATTATATATAGTATTTACATGAAGGTCATTAAAAGCAAGAGCAAAAGCCCATTTTTATTATATCATCTTAAAGTCTTTGGCCAAGAACATCCACAGAAGATTTAAGGTGAGTCAGGATCTCCAAAGCAGCCCGAGAGGGGAGAGATATTCAATAGGATTATTCCTTTGCTTCAAGGAAGAGAGTAGATCCAGTAATCTTAACTCATTTAGGATATTTTCTTCCTGGCACATCAAATAAGGCATGGCAGACACCTAGGGCTTACCCACTCCTCCCTTCTCCTCCTCCTCTTCTTCTTTTTCATCTTTCTCTCTCTCTCTCTCTCTCTCTGTCTCTCATACACACACGCACACACACACACACACACACACACACACACACACTCGCCACTGCATTGTCCAGTAAAATGTAAAGTCTTTGAACTGAGTTTAAGTTTTATTTTGTTTTTTGGTACTGGGCATCAAATTCCGGTCCTTGTGTTTGCAAAGCAGGCACCTTAACCACTGAGCTAAATCCCTGACTTAAGTTTCCCTTAAATTTTAAATACTAATGGGTACTTGGATAAATTGGCCAAGTTTGCAGAACAGTATGTCTCTTTACATGCATTCTCAACTACCATTCTGGACTATGCAATAACCTATAATTTGCTAGGTGAGTGCCCTCTGTGAATTCTAGGAATTTTTAAATGATTATATTCCTCTCTCTGAGATAGAGGAATTTTAGATTACATTTGGACCATCAGCCCTATTGTTTCTTTGAGCTCCTCTGTTACTTTGCCACTAAACCTGACTCGCAGGCAACCACTGATCATTTTTAGCTTGCATTTTCTGGAATTTTAATTAATTAAGTAATTATTTTTGGTACTGGGGATTGAGCTCAAGGCCTTTATACCGAACTATACCCTCTGCCTTTTTAAAATTTTGGGTCACACTAAGTATCTAAATTACCTCTTTTGGACTTGAACTCATGATCTTCCTTCCTCAGCCTCCCAGTGCACTGGGATTCCAGGTATGCACTACCCTAGTTTTAGAATTTTATACATGTGAAATCTAAGAGAGCATCTTTATTTTTACCTGATTTTTTCACTTGGTATAATTATTTTGAAATTTCAAACAACCATTGTATGTATCAGTAATTTATACTTATTGCTGATATTGTGGTTATGGAACAACTGAGAATGTAGTAGAATTTTTATCCATTCCCTTTCTGATGGACATTTGAGTGATTCCAGTTTGAGTTGTTAGAGTAGAACATTTTTATGCGTCCTTCACTTCTCTTGAATAAACACGTACTAGTGGAATGGCTGCATCATAAGGTAGATACTGTATTTATTGTCAGGGAGCAAATATAATGTCTCCCTAATCTTCCTTCATAAATTCATAGTTGGGACATACTCCTGTAACAAAAGGCAGATTAAGAGGAGAAAAATAAACAATTTTATTGATACAAGGAGTGTGCATCATATGGGAGAAACTTCAGTGAAAAGCAATTCAAGGCAGTGAGTTGTACAAGTATAGCTTCACACACACACACACACACACACACACACACACACACACACACAAACAGTAAAGATGTGGGGAAATGAGAGGACAAAGGAAAGAGGTTTTAGGCTTCCAAGGAAAAATACATGAGGAACAGGGTTGCTTTGTAGCCTCTTCTGTGCTGTCAGTAAGACACTTGTCTCCAGGAAAGAAGAATTCGTGTTCTGTCTTTAGGCAGAAAAGAGAGAGGAGGGAGCAGATTCCTGCTCTTGCTGCTGCTTAATTGCCATTGCTGCAAAAATCATTTTTATGTTAAAGGGGCATGTTTTGGGATGGCATATTCTGGTTTCTCTCAAAACTTTGTATTTTAAGAAACTGCCACACTATTTTCCAAAGTGGTAATAATGCTTTACTTTCCCCCTAACAATCTGTGAGAGTTCTAGTTCGTCTACATTCTGTCCGTATTCTACCAAATGTTAAGAGTGGCTTTTGGTGAAGAGGGTCTGCTATAACTGTACCTAAAGTGAAAGGCTTTCCATCCCTTTTGTATACAAGAGTGCAGACAAATAATTGTTTGCACTGTTCTAAAAAACGTTACCTGCTGTTAAAGTCCAGACTTATGAAAATCTTTTATAAAAATGTTAGAAGAACAAAAAGCAATAAAGTTCAAGTATAAACACTAAAGAAACCATTAACTTAGCTGTGTCTATAGCAAAGATATTTTAATAGGGAAAAAATTTGCAGTTACATGGCAAGAGGACAACTGATACATTTTTCACCATATTTTTTTGGTTAAAACATTTCAAAAACTCAAACACTGAAAGTATTTGATGATACTTAACACATCTCTTGGAGATATGTAAGTGATTTTTCATGTATTGCTGCAGAAGGGAGTTGAATTTTATTTCTGTCAGACTCATCCAGCGCAATGAGGCTAAGGAAGTAAGTCATAGACCAAACTGTCTAATGAATATTTCTAACCTCAAGAATTGTTATTTTTAAAAATGAAATAGAAGCATTTCTATGTTTTGAGTAGCTCACTGTGAGTACTTTAAAACACTTGGACACAATACAAAGCCATGCGGGGACTGACCAGTTAATAAGTGCTTAGCTAACTCTGCCTGAAGGTCCTTGGGCTTTGCTGTTGATGACTTTATGGGTCCAGTGACCCTGAGGCAAAATCTCTTCAGTAGTTCAATAAATAAAATATTTATTGCATTTTCTATAGAAATAAAATTAGAGCAATGATCCAGAGCTTTGGCTTGTTTAAAAGTCCTTATATTCTTGGAAACTACTGCACAGTGGAGCAATGTTTTAAACTGATACTGTATTGTATTCTAATCAAAATTTCTCTTTCTTTTGCTTTCTTTTTGTTTTTTGGTACAGGGGACCGAACTCAGGTCCTTACGCTTGTGAGGCAGGTGGTGGAACCATTGAGCTAAATCCCTGGCTCCCAAAATTTCACTGAACCATTCTAATCCTTAATTATAATGATATGAATGAATGCTATCCAACCTATTATCTTAAAACTAAAACTAATGCAGAATCTTTTCAATATCTAAAATTGTTGCGAGAAAACGTGTTTTCTTTCTTTTAGACAGGGTCTATGTAACCCAAGCTGGCCTTGGACTTGGGAATCTCCTGAAAAGCCTCCCAAGTGCTGGGATTACAGGTATCTACCACAACAATACTTTATAATAATAACTTAAATGCAGGATATAATTGCCTACAAGTAGTATCAGGTGGAAGATAAATTTTCTGCTCAATGATAGAGACCAAGTACAAAATATATGTATCTTTCTTTTTTAACATTACATTATGAATATTCTCCAAATGTTTATGAACTTGCAGTCCCTTTTTATGATTGTATAACACTTCATTAAATTCATATATTGACTTTTTAAAAACAAATCTCAAATCTCGGACTGTGTTTTTGCATCTTGAATTAATGATATTAATTTGTAGAAGAGTTTTCTCATATTCAGAATTGTTTCTTTAGTATAGGTTGTAAGAAATGGTACTGCTTTAAGAAAGAATCTTACTTTAGTTTTAATATAAAATGTTTAAATATTTCTTTAATATGAAAAGACTATATGCCAAATTTTACTCTACTATCAGAAAGTAAGGCTCATTGAAACCTCACCAAAGTTGGGCACTTTAAAAATTTTTAATGAGTGCTAATTTAAAAGGGAAATATTTTTAATTACTTTTTATTATTAGAGATTGTTCTTATTTTATTTTGAGTTGTCTACTCACACCATTAAATATTTATAGCTCTTGAAGTATTTGTGTATTTATTGATGTGCATAAACCTCTTAGACGTTGAAAATATCAACCCTTGACCTATCCATGCAAAATTCACCACAAATGAAAACTCAGGAGCTGGGCGTGGTGGCACACACCTGTAATCCCAGCACTGGGGAGGCTGAGGCAAGAGGATTGCTGTGAGTTCAAGACCAGCCTGGGCTACATAGTGAGTTCCAGGTCAGTTTCAACTACATAGTGAGACCCTGTCTCAAAAAACCAAAAAAAACAAAACCAAACAAAAAAAAACCCAAACAAAAAAAAACCTCAGCACTTAGGCCTAAATCTCCAGTTTTAAAATAACTATAAGTTCAAACTCTACTAAGTCTGAACTTAATATTTTTTATAAAATGAGTTTTATATTAACTTATTTCCAAATTTTTCCTGTTTACTACTTTAAAAAAATGTTCTCAGAGAAGTACCAAGAATCTAACTTGGGGCCTTGAGTATGCCAGGCAGGTGCTGTGCCACTGAGCTACATCCCCAGTCTGCATTCATATTTTTTTTGTTTTTCTTATTTTAAAATTTTTATTAGTACATATTTGTACTACATAATGATTTCATTCATTTTAGGCAATTGATACATGTACATAACACATCGCAATTCTTTTTTTTCCCCATTCCTTTGTACCCCCTATTGTTGCCAGCCTCAAACTCATTTATTTATTTTATAAGTCCTTATAAAGTTAATTTTTGTACATACAGGTAAACAGCCAGACTAACAGGCCACAAAAGCTTACAAAACACATAAGGCAATTCTAGTAAATAAAGGTCCACTTTTAGATACATTATCCGTGCTGGATTACAACAACTTTTTTCTATTTTTTCCTTTTGTCTATCTTTTATTTTGTACTTTATGTATATATTGAGTTTCTCATACAAGACAAACCATGTGATATTTAAAGTTTGTGTGTCTGATTTACTTCACTTAACATTATGGTCTCAGGGTACATTCATTTTGCTACAAGTGACTCAAGTTTATTCTTTATGGCAGAGTAGTATTCCATTGTGTATAAATACCACATTTTGTTTATCCATTCATCTGTTGATGGACATATAGGCTAGATTATGCTGCTATAAACATGGATATGCATACATCACTGTGGTATGATGTCTTTTAACTCTTTTGGAAAGATGCCTAAAAGGGGAATAACTGGGTAAAATGGAATTTGTATTTTTAGCATTTTGAGGAATCTCCATACTGATTTCCATAGTAGTTGTACCAGTTTACACTCCCACCAACAATGAATAAGGGTTCCTTTGCCTCTCTAGCATTTGTTATTGTTCGATTTCTTGATTATAAATATTCTTTCTGGAGTGAGATAAAAATCTCAGTGTTATTTTAATTCGTATTTCTTGACTAACCAGCAATGTTGAATATTTTATTTATTTATCCGCTATTTGTACTTCTTCATCTGAGAGGTGTCTTATTCATTTCAGATGTACATTTGTTTCATTGGGTCTTTAAATTTGGGGGGCGGTCTAATTTTTGAGCCCTTTATATATTCTAGATATTAATCCTTTGCCTGAGGAGTAGCTCACAATAATTTTCTCCAATTCTGCAGGTTTTCTCTTCACTCTTTTGGTGGTTCCCTTTGCTGTGCAGAAAACTTTAATTTGATCCCATTTGTTGATTCTTGGTATTATTTCTTGTGCAACCTGAGTTCTGTTTAGAAAGTCTTTGCACCTGCCTATGTCTTCAAGAGCTTTACTTATTGTTTTCCAGCAGATTGTTTTTGTTTTAATATTTAGATCTTTGATCCATTTTGCTTTTAGTTTAGTTCATGGTGAGAGAGATGCATCTAGGTTTTACCTTCCATATGTGAATAACTAGTTTTTCCAGCACCACTTATTAAAGAGACTATCTTTCCTCCAGTGAAAGGATTTGGCCCCATTGTAGTCAATATTTGCAAGGGAATAGATTTAATACAGGACACATAATTTATAGGATTATTTTATAATATTTACCAAAAAAGTCAAATGCAGAGTAGTACAAGAGATCTGTCCATGCACTAGAGACCCAAAAATCCAGCTGAGTCTGGATTCCATAGAAATGTCCCGCTTTCGTCCAGTCATATGCCTGAAGCATATAGCAATGTCCTCTATGAGTCCATCCAAGGGTCCAAGACCCAGTGGTGGAAGCTAGAAAGTCTGTGACAGTGGGATGAAGGGACTGTGCCATCCTGAGGGATCTGCACTGGAGCCAGGAAGTGACACTTAAGGCAGAGACCAGAGCTCCCCTGAAGAAAACAGCAGCCATGCCCAGTGATAGTGAGGACCCGAGCTCCTCTGACAATGAGAATAGCTGAGTTCATATCAGGAAAACTCAGAGGACGCCTTTCAGATTGTTCCACCTCATTGCCCCCTGGGTTTGACTTTTGTGAGCTTCAAGTCAAGGGAATTGCATCTTCTTTGGGTGTTTTCTAATTTTCTATTTTTTAAAGTTTAATTCCTGGTTGATGCTTGTAAACTGCTTATGGTAAGTAGCTTTAATGCAGTATTCAGAACCCTTAGGAAATGACTACGTCTCAGAGGTATTTTCCAGGTGTAGCTGGCTTTTGGGTTTTCAGTCTGTTTCAGGATCTTACCTCTTCAATTTATTTATTGTAGATGAGAAGTTTCTACCTACTTGGCCCAGCCACCGGTTCTATGGCACTGGCCTATAGTCAGTCTTTGTCAAACAGAAAGAACAACTGATTAGCACAATTATGTCATCTTTGGCAATCAGCAATAATAGCAGCATCTATAGCCTAGAAAATGAAAAACTGTGGTAACTATTAATTTACCACCTTTAACCATATAAACCAGATTTGTGGTTATGTAACAAGATCTAAAACAAACCAGAAAATTGTATGCAACAAATAAGCCCTTAATATGGCGATTTTACCCTTAGGAAAGGAGTTTTTAAAGGGTTGGGGGAAAATAGAGAAGTAAAAGATGAAGGGTTTAAAAGCAAGGCTGGAGGATCAAGCAAGATCGTACAAACTTTAGGAAAATGGTGAAGAAACTTTAGGAAAATGCTGTCACACATTGGGAGACAGTGTGGGTAGACAGAGTCCAGAGCTGAATTGATTAATTCCAGCAAGCCAACCATAGCTTTATAGCATGATAGTGGATAATCCCAGCTGGCTTGAACCTTTAGTTTACTGAAGTTCAGGCTGGTTTCTAGCTATGACACTAGAACTGCATTTTTTGAGCCTGTAACTGTCCATATGCCTCCTGCCAGCTTGAATTTGGCCGCCTGCCAACTTGAACTCTTCTGTCTTGCTTCCTGCTGAGTTGAAATTTGCACCCTCACTGAGATACCACAGTCTACTAGATGGAGTTGGCCTGTACCTGTTTTGAGTTCCAGGCTTAGTTGGCCCCTCTCCAAGATAGCTACCAGCCAATCACCCTCTCCTTGGTGACATCTGAATCCAGTGACCATCTACTGTAGTCTGCTGTGTCCACTGTTCCATTCCACTGATGTGTTTCCCTGTGGGGGCCTCTGGGGCTGCCAGTAGTCACCACGCATCTACAAGTTCAAATTGCTGTTACCACACTGTGAGTTTGGGCTCATAGAGGAAGCACTACTTGCTATCTCCCTCCTCTTCATTGAGGCCTCTCTCTTTGCTCATCCTGTGGACTTCAATTCATACTTCAGATCCTTCCTGGGTCCTAGGACCCACTTCCCTACTATTTCTCCTCATGCTGCTATATTCCAGACTTAGGATACAAATCTTGGAGAGGCTCTTTCTCTGCTGTTTACCACTCTACCATCTTCCCAGAAGTCTCCAGAATGCAATCTTGAACTTGCTTTGTGGCCCTTGGCCTCAGACTTGCTACAATCCTCCTGCCTGTCTCCTGAGTGCTGGGATTACAGGCATACACCACCACAGCTAGCCTTTATCACCTATTATAAACTCTCATTTTATTTTGTATCTGGAGACAGAGTTCCTGTAAGTCACTAACTGCAAGGACTGGTGTTCAGCTTGCTGTCCTGGAGCATCAATGTCCCCCAGTGCTAGGATTACAGGCAACAGTGCCACACCTGGCTCACTCAGGCCATAATTGGTGACTGTAGGTTCAGAGTCCCTGAGCTCCAGTCCCAGTCATGGACATCTTCATGTTGTTTTTCCTTCTCTAAAGTTCTTATAGAATTTGGCAGTGAATCCATTGGGACCTAGGCTTTTCTTAGTTTGTCTTTTTTATTACTTTGTCATTTTCATTGACTGATTTTGGAGTATTCATAATTTTTACATCTTCTTGGTTCAGCTTTGGTAGTTCAGATGTTTCTAGGAATTTATTCATTTCTTCTTTATATTATATTTTATTAGAGTACAGGTTCTCAAATAGTTACTGATGATGTCTTCTGAATTTTGGCAGAAT